TAAAGTAGGCCTATACCGCGTATGCAATATCCATAATACCTTGCAGAGATAGTAATTATTTCGAATACTGTTATTATTTTTGTTCCTTTTTGTAAACTTGCCATGAACATAATTCTCATTGTTTTACTTTCGTGATTTTTAAACGGTATACATAAATGTAAATTATAGTAAATTACAAAGAAATAGGTGTCTATACCTTAATTTATTGTGTAAATCATGTTGTTTGGTTTGAATGTTTCATGTTTAGGAGAATCTATGATGATGAATTATAAATATTATGATATAATATTGATTATAAATAAAATATGGCCCAAACATGTTAAACATTTATAAAAAGTTAACTATAATTTCTAACCTAGTGGTAAAAATTAAAATAAATAATTTACAATGTTTTGTACTTAAATGAAGTTACTAATTTTTGGTATAGTATATAAGTATAAGTCAATTATAAAACCTAATAGAGAATAAATAATACTCAATAATTTTATAAAATTGTATAGATATTTCCTGTAGTTTTTTCAGCATACATTTTGAGTAGTTTTGGCGTGTTAGTTTAAGTTAAACGAGTTTCATTAATTGTGTCCAAACGTACTTCAAAACATGTTAGAAGTTCAAATTCAAAACGTTAGGTTAGAAACCTTAGTTTAAGATCGTTTTTCGTAAACCTACAGTGATTTTATTTTATCATTGAATTCAAATTCAACACAATATCCATTACAGTGACTCTCTAGATCAGGGATTTCAAACCTTTTTGTACCAGCGTGTCAAATAAAAATTTTGGTTGGATTTTGTTTTCCCTGCGTGTCAACTAATTCGATAACCCTTCAATTTTTTTTTTCAAAAACTTTAATATTATCAAACGTATACATATTCGTGTGTGTCACTAAAATAGTGTGAGCGTGTCACTCTGTGACACGTGTGTCATAGGTTCGCCATCTCTGCTCTAGATACTTAATGTGCAGTAAAACGTTAACCTCATTTTTCTTATAAGTTGTATAGCTGATAAGCTTTAGTGTAGGTACATTCAATAATTTCAAATAGTCTCCGTAGAAACATAAATAAATATCTCTTCTAAAAATGACACCACTAAGATCTGGATCGTTGTTTTGCATTTATGGATCGGTACCCGTTGAGATTGAATTAATGTTTGTCATTGTTCCTACTATTGAATCTCCATCAATCGTAACCTGCTACATGATGTGTCGGTGTGTGACAACTATGAAATTGACTATTGTACATTTTATAGAAGCCCTCCGGACAGTTTATTGTTCTACAGATTAATTTGTGCAGTTGCTAACCGACATTTGGCAACATGGCACAAAAATTAAATTAATTCAACTTACGGAATCGTGTTATGAAAAAGGCACCGCCGATAAGTACTCCGTGCCCAATCTTATACCTACTATCCATGTCATGTCAAATTATGTAATTATTTTTGATACACCAATTATTAATTCGTATTGCATTTCAAAAACATATCAATAACCCATTAATCGTAAAGTGAAGAAATTAATGTATTATCTTTCTTTCGTAATAAAATCTATTGTAAATTGTAATAATCTATACATTTAAATTCTAGTCGTCAAATAAAATATGACGTGTAGTGTATTTGTATCAACATTGTATAAGCCATACTATCTAGATTAATTATTATTTACGATTTATGAAATGAAAAATAAGACAGTTAAATTTTATATCATATCATGATAATTACTATTATATTGCACCTAGTATAAATCTTCATTCGTATTGGAAATCCAATTAAAAATAAATCATGACTCCTAGAATTCAAGTTTATTAAATCTCAATGTTTACCTATATATATGAAACGTACAATAACACATTGTCTACGTTTTCTACATTGTCTACAACAAGTAAATAAAATAAAGCGTAATTAAAAATCATAGCATTCAATATTTTACGATAAATCATTTGTTTAACTATTTAAATCTACCGAGGGCGTTATATGTATTTGATTATATTTCATTTCAAAATGCAAGATTATGATTCTGATGTTGGGTTTTCATTTAATTGTATATTCCACTTCAACCGGCATTAAGCTATTCGAATTAGAAATTTAGTACTTTTCATCGTGGCGGTAAAAAACTAAATATGAATAGATCTCCATGTTGTCCTCGTATGTTTTGTTTTTGTATAGTCTGCTCAAGTTCAAATGTCCAATGTACGTATCTAATCATTGAATAATTTTTGACGTTGTTATAGTTAATATAACTACTTTTGCCTTCATAATGTTATAGATTTTGAGCTAAGCGATTAATGCATTGATTTTGCAACGATATGTGTTTTCAAATTTTTATTTCATATTACTTTTGATTTTGTGTTTGTCACACTTTTTGGAGAAGTAAAAATACTTTGATTCTCAACATTGATTGTTGTTTCTAGTAGCAAAGAGGGCGTAGTTGGTACTAGAAATGGGACAAAAGAAAAAAAAATTATTTTTAAAATTACAAAGAAAAATAATTTACGGTTAAATTGACCAGTTTACACAAAAAAGTTTTTTTTGACAAAATTGACTACGTTTTTATGGTGTAACTCGAAAATAAATAATCGTACAGCACCTGTCATTTTTACCGAATGATTATATTGGCATTTTCTATACATGGTATGATTTTCAAAATATTAAGACTCTTTTTACTTTATTTATAGAAATTTGCAATTTTGGTCTCTTTAAGTTTTTTTTTTTTTTAAATGTCGATAAAAATTTTTTTCTTAGTCAAAAAGCTTGAAATGTTATGTAGAATTCTTCATTATAATAAGTACAGAAGTTCATACTGGAACCAAAAATCTACATCAATTTTCTTTTTATAGACATTTTAATAAGTTCAAATTTGGCCAAAATTAGATATTCAAACGACAAATAATAATTTTAGTTATCGCTTATTGTAATTTAAAAATATATTTTTCATGGAGATTTCAAACTTTTACGTCGGCTAATATATATTTTTTTCTACTCAATATCACGATAACATTTTCAAAACATTTTTAAAACATTTATATTAAGTTTATTCTATTTCATATATGTGTATAATAAATACCACTAACTCATTCACATCGTACTAAGTCGGTATTGAATCAAAAGCGAATAACAATAATATATGACACAGATATTTTTTAATTTGTTTTTAAAGATGAAAATAATGGGTATTGGCCATACAATTTAAATTTATTTCTTCTAATAACTAATGAGATAACCACAGAGTGGTTACCATTCAGCATCTAATTATACTGTTGAGTTATTTTGTGGTGGTCAATAATTGACTTCTTAATATTCATAATAATCGCGAAAAGTGATAAAGTTAAAACTACGAAGAGCAAAATCTAACAGTATAAACATCATCTTATAGGTAAACGAATAAGTTTTAGATCAACGATTTGAAAAAAATAGGTAATAAAATCAGTCAAATTATGAAAAACAATAAAAAATACAGAAAGATTCGCCGAGCATTTTCAACCCTCCCTCTATTTTATTGTCCCACGAAACATTTATTCGAATTCTGATTTTCAGTTTTTAAATTATATTTAAGGATCATATTTTTAAATACTTAAATTTGTTTGTATAGGTACCATTTAAGGAGTGTTTTGTAGATAAGCCAACTTTTTTTAAATGAGTACCATGCTTTTTTTCCTGTTAATTTTTAAGCAGATTTAATTTTTGAAAATGTTTATGTATTTAAAGAGAAATTTTGTTTTGAGTTATTTAACTTTGAGTACTAAAGATGATATTATGTTTGAAAAGTAATATGTGATATTCTGATAAAAAATGGTAGTAATTAATATTAATCTAATCTTACTATCAGTTTGTAAAAAATACTTGATCTTTTAGGTATTACATACATTTTATATTTTTGTAAAACCATTTTTAAGGACTATCATATCCTTAATGTACCTGTAGGTATGTTTTAATATCTCAGAGGTTACTCGTTAAAATTTGGTCAAAAGGCGTTGCCCATGTATTATATAGCTATATAAAAAAACCGTTTTTACCCCTTTGAGATCGAATTTTGACTTAAGTATGTTTAAAATCTTAATATTGATTGCTTATACTAACCATGATGAACAAACACTTATAAATACTTACAATTATAAATTAACTGTTTTATATCACAGATAGAAAATAGATGAATCTGTTTTAAATGTAAAGCGATAAGCGTGATGTCTCGATTAAGGAAAATAGGGAAATACACGCCGATCAAACACATAATTAGACAGACAAAAAGTTATAGTTGCATGTCGCTGTGGAAACCCATCACAGGTCGCCGTGCTGTAAAATATGTATATAGATATGCTATTTATACGTAAAAAATTTGTTTTTGCTGGTTTCCACCCCCATTAAAATCAAAACTTTGAAAAATCCTTTCTTAGTGGAACTTGACATTACAATATTAATCCATCTTCAAAATTTCAATTCGATAACTCAAATAGGTTCGGCTCTGCGTTGATTATTGCTAAAGTAACTTTTCTTTATACATAGAGATTTTATTTTCGTATGACCATAGGGAATGCAAATATAGTATGGCATATATAGAACAAATATTAAAACCCAAGTTTTATTTTATGTCTGATAATTTACAATCAAACAATTATTTACCAAATGTAGCAGTTAGAATTCGAATAAATTAATATAGTTATTTACTTTCTTATTAGTACCTAGTATGTTAAACTTATTTTTTCAAAAAACATCGCATATTTCATTACTTATTTGGGCTATTGGCTAGGATTCATATAGATTAGAATGTTTCATTTGCAGCAGTGTTCTTAAAAATCTTAATATATATAAATCTCGTGTCACAATGTTTGTCCTCAATGGACTCCTAAACCACTTGACCGATTTTGATGAAATTTTTTACTCCGCGTGTAATTTGGTCCAACTTAAAAGATAGGATAGTTTTTATTTCAAATTTTTTAATACATTAAATATTTTAATTAATTTTTTAATAAATTAAAAATTTATTATTATTATTATTTTTATTTTTTATTTTTTTTATATTTTTATTTTTTTTAATATTATTATTTTATATATTTAATACTAGCTGACCCGGCCACGCGTTGCTGTGGATAAAGTTATTGTTATATTACATTATAGTAAACAATCTAAGAGGAACAATAAGAGAACATCAGTCACGGAGTCCACTATGCTTTTTCACACAGATGGTATTTGTAAAAAAATATTAATTATTATTTTCAGTCAAATGCCACCGAAAAAATCTAACCTCAACAACGCGAGCAGCAAAGGGGCACGACGCAAACGTGTTGAAAGAGCTCAGCAATTACCAGAACAAATCGAAACAAGAAATGCAGCTCAAAGAATCAGGACTGCAGAAAGTCGTGCACGAGAATCTCAAGAACAGCGTGACGAACGTCTGCAACAGAATATTACGAGAACAAGAGCGGCACGAGAACGAAACATAGCTACAGTACGAGAAAGAGATCGACAAAGGCAACGGATCAGCCGCTCATTAACACGTGCATCATTCGTTCGGCTTGCCTTTGAATATGCACCAGATATTAACTACTCAGCGCATTCAAAAATTGCTATCGGTGGAATGGATAAAGTATGTCAATATTGTCAGGCATTGAAATTTCGGAATGAAGCAGCCGGCATGTGCTGCGCATCAGGAAAAGTTGTGCTGTCACCTCTACCCGCTCCGCCGGAGCCTTTATTATCCCTTCTTACTGGCAATTCAGATGATTCCAAATTATTTTTGCGTAAGATACGCAAATTTAATTCTTGCTTCCAAATGACGTCATTTGGGGCAACTAAAATTTGCGATCGTGCATCCGATGGACGTAATTTTGAAACTACATTCAAAATTCAAGGCCAGGTGTACCATAAAATCGGATCACTGATGCCAATGCCTGATAACAATCCGAAATTTCTTCAAATTTATTTTATGGGCGATTGTGAAGAGCGTGTGACGACTCGGTGCCTGTATAATGTTATTGAACAAGCAGAGGAAAGAGCAATTGTGATATTATTGGAAAATTTTTTAGAAGATCACAATCAACTAATTCAATTGATCAAAAGAGTTTCGCCACGATTGCAAAATGACAATTATCAAATCGTCATAAAAGCCGACAAAGTACCATTAGGTGAACATGCTGGTAGATTCAACGCTCCAACTGTTGATGAGGTTGCTGTTATCATGGTTGGTGATCCAGTTGACAAAAGATCTATAAAAATTACACGGCGAGACAACACTGTCAGTACGATTTCGGATCTACACCGTTCTTATGACGCACTACAATATCCATTGATATTTTGGCAAGGACAAGATGAATATCACCTTAATATCAAACAGTATGATCCAAATACCGGTAAATTTGACAATTATCTATTTACTTTCTTACTGTATGTATAGATTTTAATTTCGTATTGCATTTTATTTTTTATTTTTTTAGGTGATTACAGAAATAATAAAGTTAGCTCAATGAACTACTACGCACACCGAATAATGGTTAGACAACATCAAGACAATTATATCCTTCGATATCGTCAGCTGTTCCATCAATACATTGTTGATATGTATGCTAAGGTTGAAAGCGAACGCTTGCGATTCCTTCGATTTAACCAGGCAAAACTACGATCGGAAGAATATATTCACTTACGAGATGCTGTTGCTGGAAACATCGATGGAAATTTAAATCCCAATGACATCGGTAATGCTTTCATTTTACCTTCAAGCTACATCGGCAGTCCACGGAACATGCAGGAATACATACAAGATGCGATGACTTACGTACGTCATTACGGCCGACCGGATTTATTTATTACATTCACATGTAATCCGAATTGGGAAGAGATACAAACTTTACTATTGCCAGGACAACAAGCCATTCATCGTCATGATTTAACTGCACGTGTGTTTAAACAAAAATTGAAATCCTTAATTGATGTTATTGTTAAATATGAAATTTTTGGTATCACACGTTGTTGGCTTTATACGATAGAGTGGCAAAAGCGAGGTTTGCCTCATGCCCACATTTTGGTTTGGCTTAAAGATAGAATCCGTCCTGAAGAAATCGATCAAATAATTTCAGCCGAAATTCCAGACCCATTAATTGATCAAGAATTATTTGATATTGTCACCAAACACATGATCCATGGGCCATGCGGTGCTTTCAACAAGACGTCACCGTGCATGGAAAATGGAAAATGTAAAAAAAACTTCCCAAAGCCGCATACGAATGACACGATCACGGATATTGATGGTTATCCAATGTATCGCCGTAGAAGTACTGAGAATGGTGGCCACACATTTACAATGCTACTGCCGAACTTTCCAAATCAAGTTGAGTTTGATAATCAGTGGGTGGTACCATACTCACCACTACTTTCAAAAACTTACAAAGCTCATATCAATGTTGAGCTTCGCAGTTCTGTTAAATCAATTAAGTATATTTGTAAATATGTAAACAAAGGCAGTGATTTGGCCATATTTGAAGTACAAAACATAAATAAAAATGACGAAATAGCACGATACCAAATGGGCAGATACATTAGCAGCAATGAAGCTATTTGGCATATTCTCAGCTTTTTTTTTGGTGTTAAATTAAATTGAAATTGAAAGTATTTATAATTCAAAAAAATAGATATTAATGTTTAAAAGTTTAAGACTGTCTGCCTTGCCTATCTCATTCATGAGTTTAAGCGTCACATGTTATTTACTGTATTATACTGTAATATACTTATATTTGTTATAAAATTAAATGGAAATAATAAATCTGATAAATTTTTATTTTGTACCTATTGATTTCTGCTTAATATCAAGTGTAAGAACATTTTAATTAATTGTGTTCAACGTACTTCCCCTTCAAATCTCAATCCAGTGAATTTGTATACCAACATCAACATTTTCGTCTTTGTTAGTAAATAATGTCATTGTACTAAAGGGTTATAGTAGTAGAAAGTCAAATAAGTAGATCACCATATTTTTTTACAAATACCATCTGCGTGAAAAAGCTTAGTGGACTCCGGGACTTTAGCCACAGCAACGCGTGGCCGGGTCAGCTAGTAATATTATATTAATTCAAATTATATTTTAGCTTTCATAAACAGTAATTGTATTATTTTTTTAAATTACCAGAAGTTACTTTTTTACTTTATGATGGTTGAAAACATTGTTAAATTCATTGCCTATTTTCATATTTTATAATTTATATTTCATATTATTTGCAATTATTATTATATTATAAATATTTATCCATCATTATATCATATATTGTTTTTATTAACTTATTAGTCAATAGTACTGCAGTAATGACTTGTGAATATATGTATGTGGTATAAATATAAAATAGCTTAGTATTAGTCTGTCTTAATTCAGAAAATATTTATTTTCGGTACCCGAAACTATTGTTCGTACTTTTATTATTATTTATTATACACAATGCCGTTTAAGTTAATACAAATTTGTTAATACATTATATCATTCAAATTAATATTAACTAATATTACATAAAATATGTGACTTGTTTTTGAAAATATTAGTTCAACTTACCCCCCACGACAAAATACCGCGAGTGAATAGTATGGGAAAATAAATTTCCATTAACAATATAAATAAGTATATTATAATAAAATATCCTTGAATATAATGTATATTTATGCATATAGGCTGGTAGACCGTCACTGCTCAGTATCGTTTTTCACCGTATACAATGATTTATCATTGAATTCAAATTGAACGCATCCATTACAGTGACCTACTCAATTACGTGATACACTTGACATTTTTCCTGACGACTGGTTAGTATAAATTATGGACTGTGAGCTAATATTCAAATGTTGAAACAATCTATACGGATTACCTACATCGTATTATGTCTATAGTGTCTAAAAAAAAAAAAATTAAATATTTTGTGGTGGAGAAACTCGTCAGTAAAGCATATCGTACCATGTCTGAGCTCGCCACGTGATTCAAAACTCAATACTTAGATCACTGGATAGCGAATCCTGTCGATATTTTAACTACATTTATTTTGTAATATGGTGTTCTTGCGGGTACATCGTAATATGATTAAATTATTTATATTTTATAATCATATTGTTATGGTAGATAACCAGAGGCAGTTTCAAAAGGAAAAAAAAATGAAACAAATAGAGATCATAAGAATCAAAGAGGAACTTTGTATAGTGACCGGAAACTAGCAGGGCGTGGCACCGTTTACCAGATGACGATTATTATTATTTACCTACTAATGTAGAGAATATGCGTATAAGCGCACTATAGGTTCAGTCTAAACACTCTAAACTATAAAATGCATACTGAACATTACTCTTAATAATAAATTATTGAAAATATTAAAATGTCATTAGTATATAAGTGTACGATCGATATTCGTTAAATGTGACCATACTATAGAAATAAGTAATAACCATATAATAATATAACAATTAACAATGATGGTACTGAGAAAAAAAAAGATTCCTTTATTTAAAAAAAAATTAAAAACTGCTTACAATTGAAAACCACAAGGCAATAAGAAACAAATGAAAATCAAATCTAAAGACATAATAATATGTAAAGTATTTGTATTATTTCAGTGACCATCATCGCATAGCAGCAGCATGGGAAAATGTTGTCGAACAATTATTTTTAACAATTATTAGTGTAAACGTTTTACCTGAGAAAAAAAATTCCATACATTAAATCACTTATTAAAGTTAACAAAGATTTGTTAATGCGTTTAAGTAGGTATACTTATACTGGTAGATGAACTACAACACAAAAAGTATTATAAATTCAAAACCATTTACCAAATCACTTTTACGAAGGCACCTACCAACTACCAGTGCACCACTGAATAAACGAGTCGTAACACTCGTAAAACAAAATTGCTCACTCGAATCACAAACACCACGCACACGCCACACTGCGTGTTACAACTATTTTTTCTGACATTTATTTCGGTGCCCGCTTCTTGCGTCCGAAGTTATATAATCAGTAGGTAGTTGCGCCTGAATATAAAAGGTCACAGCCTTTTCTTAAAAACTTGTTGCGTCCCTAAGTATAAGTATATCGATTTAATAATATTTGACAGACGGAACGATATTAATCATAGTTTGGATTTCCTATTAGGTACTATGATTTCACAACAATCACATAAAAATAATCATAACAACCATACAATATAGTCAAATATTATAAATTGTCAGCAAAAATGTGTTTCATGCGATGAGACGTCCAGCGGCGTGGTGAACTGAAAATATTCCAGAGGCAAGTAACATAGAGGCCGAAGTGCCCCCCCCCCCCTACTATAAACCCAAATAAATGTGGGGAGGGGATGGCTTAACAAAACCCTGTTTGAATTTGTATCAGCTTAATTACAATAATATAGTGCTCGAATATTAGTATCTTACTCATATTATACAGTCATAGTAAGTATTATACATTTACATAATACCTAAGTATAATTGGCGGGTGTTGAGTAGTGTAATCTATTCGCGGGTCGCGACACCCATCCCTCAACACTCGAAAAATCCCATAGACAATTGCCTCTGAAATCACCCTTCACCACGCCACTGGAGACGTCCACGCTGCACGTAGGTAGGCACATAATATATTATATATATAATACTATAGTTACAGTATATAGGAGGTACATACTACATTTGACTTATTATATACGTATGTACATCACTATGTATGACTATTACGTGCATGGCTGGGCGCAAGTCACCTATTGAATTCATTACATGTTTATTATTTACCTTTTTTTGGGGAGGGGGGAGGGGCGCAATCGCGCCTAGCGCATGTAGCCGTTCATATTTATTAATAATTAATATTTACAGTCAATATCATAATAATATATTTTCGTATTTATACATTTCATTTTTTCAAAGTCTACCGTGGCTAACGATTACACTTCTCCGGACGTGAGTTGGAACCCGCAGAGTACTTGTATGCAGTTCATTATGATTTATGATACTCTTGTTCTTGCATAATAATTGTACAGTTGCCGTACCTACCTACAATTGTAAAATCCAGCGTATTCGTTGCGATCGTTAAATTTAGTAATTTCGTTCCTTGTTAGAATCTCACAACCAGACACCTCCACGTGTTTTGTGTAAATTATTAGGTCAATTATCAGCCTAACGTGTGTGGGTACTAGTTACATATTATGATGTATTATAACCCATAAAGTAATATTAGTATTGTTCGTACAAAATGGTAATTAGTTATTCGGTACACCGACATACACACGTTATTATTTTAAACTAATGACTATACCTACCTATCTACCTACATAATATTATAATAATAATAATAAAACCTACTTGATGTATTATAGTCGTTGTGCCATCGCCCAACGTTTTACGTTATCGTAAATTTTAACAGTGGCAATTAAACTCACTACTGTTGTTCGCCTGTATCCACAATATTCCATGCAGAATAATAAAGTGCATTAAATGATTACAAAATAATATAATATAGAATGGTCCCGACGAGTGTATTGTACTTTTTATTTATTTTTTATCAATTTATCGGTAATAGGTTTCTTGCATCGGAAATGTTATTCAATGTGGGTTAAAAAAGAAATACTCGTTATTGAATGATAAGACTACACATAGGAATAGTAATATAATGTTTAAATAACTGAATATGTTATACAACATAAAGACATCATCGGCGATGAAATTTAAATAGTTTTTTTCTTTAATTGACTATACTACTCCGCGTTTCACATTAGTACGAATCATTTTGGTTAATTAAAAGCCGCCAATAGCCAGAGTAAAAATATCTGTTTCCATAAGATCAAGGCGAACCATAAAATATATAAAAAAAAAACACTAACACCCATGTACGATGTGTATATACGTATAGACCATAAAGCGATTAATTTGTTTGGGTCGAAAACATAATATAATATTATGCAGCAAAATACTTATTTTAATCGCTCTACAAGCCGTTGGTAATTCTTTATGATATATAACTACGTGATAAATGTTTATGAATTAATTTTTACATCATTTCCTTTAAGAGATAATAGGAAGATTCGTTTGCCAGCAACAAAACTGGTGTTGATAAGTGAACTACATAAGTACCTAATTCACATCATCATGCCATATTTATTATTACTTCACTATGTTACAGTTACATTAATAGAAATATTTTAATCACAAATTTACAACAATTAGGTGCCCATGGCACAGCGATAATGTTAAAAGTAATTCCAATTTTCTCGGTTTTAATTAAATATATTGTTGGGCATCGACAATATTGTTTATCCTGAAAATTACTGTTGAGTAATTATTTATTTTTAATACATCCTATGGTTTTAGTTTTTGCATAGTACAAACGAATAGAAGAATACCAATAACACTTCTATAGGTACTTTGGCTTTATACAAAATTTGGATAGCGTATAAATTCCGCGGCTGTTGACCGTTTCACTACACATTTTTATTATTTATTTATTTAAGGTGGTTAAAGGCATGTTAACGATGGTGAACATTATAAAAACCAGGCATAGCACTTTTCAACCAATTTTGGAAACACGACGTTTATCGTTTCTATAAAATGGTTGGTTTATTATGTTTTGTTTTTCACTTTTTCGTTAATTTCTTTTTTCTTGATGGGTTCTTCTTGATTCAAATAGTCTTGTTATAGATAACAATTAATATAAAAAACTTGGCCATGTTTATATCTCGTTAGCTGCAACTATATACAATTCTATCACTGCAAATACTTATACACTGTTTACAGTATAGTGGTTGAGTAGTTCCTAAACATTTTTTACATTTTGGCACATTATTAAAAAATACCTATTAAAAGTCGCAGCACACTTTCTATACAATATATTTTGTGCTATTGGATATATAACAAGGGGCTTAGACCAAATGGTTGTAAAGGGTTCCTAGTAACATCAACCAAAATCAATGAACTTGAAATACGAGTTTGTAATTTAGAT